AACGGATGCAGAAGGTGAGCTTGGAAAGTCTCCGCTCGGAGTTTGGGGGGTCCTGCTGCCCCACTGCCCCACTGCCCCACTGCCTTTCCCTCTTGCCCAACGGATCCGCGGGGTGGGGTGGGGGTGGGTGTGTGTCAGTGGCCCTGCGGCCAAAGCAGTTGCCCAAACATCTGCCCAACTCCTTCTAAAATGCCCCATTTGGCCACCAGGTGGCGAGGCGGCCTTGGACCGTCTTCTGCCTAACCAGAGGCTTGAAGTGCACCCATCCACCCATCCAATAGAGCTGGAAGGGACCCTGGAGGTCTTGTAGTCCACCCCCCCTGCAAGAGCAGGAGACCCTACCCCATTCCAGACCAAGAGGCTCTCCCGTCTCTTCTTAACCAGGGATGGAGCACCTCCAACTTCGGCAGGCAAAAGTTGTCCCGCCGGCTAATTGTTGTGGCTATCAGGCGGCTTCTCCACCACTCCAGGTTGTTTTGTCTCCTGGATGAGGTTCCACCCGTTGTTTCTTGTCCTGCCTTCTGGTGCATCCTGGGGAGCCCAGGAGAAGAAACCCCTAAAAGCCCCCCTCTGTCGCTCCCTTGACAGGACAGGAGGGGCGGGGGGGCGAGAAAGAGAGAGATCATTTTTCCAGACTGACCCCACTTCAAGCACTGGGGCATCCGCAGCACGAAGGGCATCGCCTGGGCAGAGGTGCGTGTGGGGCCTCCTGATGCGCAGCTGGGCAGGGGGGTCCGTGTTGCTCTGGCCTTTTGCTCCAAGGCAGCACATTTTCTCTTCTGGCTGGCAAGCACGGTGGGTGCAATAGGTAGGTGAAGACGGGCAAAGGAGCTTTGCTGGGCCAAACGTGGCTGGCATCCCTTGGCGCCCTGTAGATGCCCTTGGACTCTCGTTTGGCAAATGCCAGGACCACGGAGGGATGCAGCTCAGAATAGTTTTCCTCAATCTCCCTGAAGCCTTTTGGCTTCCTCTGAGCAGGTTGCTGGGTTCCCTGGTTCTTCTCCTTCCCGGAAAAATAAGATTCCCAAGTTGCCTGCGCTCACTTCACCCTTAAGCTGGTGACTGAATCAAACCCTGGTTTGGCTCCCAATAGGCTCGCTTTGTAAAGGTTGCTGGTTGTCTGTTTAAGAACATTTGCACGCTGGCCCAGCCCACTGCATTCTGGGCAGCGCAGGATAGGCACAGCACCGTAAAAGTACCCAGCTGACTGACTCAGCGTGCTGGCCGATGCCCGCCGAGCTTAGCATGCTGAGCAAAGGCCCCCGCGGTTCTTTTTCCTCCCTCCCTCCCTCCTCAGCCTGGGGAAGCAGATTGTGTGAACGCAGCCAGCTAGCGGGTGGGTGGGTGGGTGGCAGGATCTGCAGCCTGGCATTCCAGTTTGAAAGGACAACCAGGAACAAATCAAGGAGGGGAGAACCCTTTCCAAGCCTCTACTCAGGGAGAAAGGCATCCGCAGGCATATTTTTTTTACCGGGTATGCACTTTTACTGGATCTAGGCTCAGCGCAAGGTCTATTTTGCCCTGCACGACAGTCCTGCAAGGCAGGCTGAGATGATGACTGGCCCAAAGGGTGTTGCATGACTTAAGAGTTAACCAGAATCTGTATCCATCCAACATTTTAACCAAAGCACCTACAGGCTCTCTATTTTTTTTCCAAATGATTTTAATAGTTCCATTTAGGAATTTATTATCGATTTTTTTTTTTCGGCTGGTGAGTGACAACTCCAGCAACAGCCCCACCCTGGGACAGGCAGGCCCCAGAGGTCTCCAGTTCTGAAGGCTGCTTTTCTTCAGCTCCCGTCGATGTCTTCTTACAGAGTTGCCAAATACTTCCTGGCTGCTGTCAGACGCATCATGTGCAGCCATGCTATTTTTATTTTATATTTTTACTGCTTCCTTTGCTTTTCCTGATCTGGTGGAAACAGCCCGTTTGGCCGAGCATTAGAGGAACGCGATTCCAACGGTGCAAAGGGATGTCGAAATAGGGGAGAGGAGGCGGGAGAAGGGGACACGGCAGCCATAGCCTCCCCCCCCCACCCCCACCCCGAGATTCCTTGGGAAGAGGTTCTGGGGCTCTGCACATGGCCGGGGGCTGCAAGTGAGAGCACTGCAACGGGATGCTTCGTCTGGTGAGTGCATCTCAGCAGACCCGGCTCTTCCTGCATAAATGCTGGCAGACTTCCAGGAGATCCATGGGGGATCTGACACCCCCACTCGAAAATATGCGTAGGCCAGGAAGCAGAGGCAGGAGGGAGATTAGCTGGTGTGCCAGCCCTTCATTAAAACGCTCCAGGGTCCCTCGGTGTGCAGGGAGGGGGGGGGGAATCTCAGGAAGGGGGAGCCCCGGGGGTGTGTGTGCGAGGGAGGGGCTGCCCATTCATCTGTTCCAAAGCTCCTTCATGCTGCCCTGTGGATGACGGTCAGGCTGGGGGAGAGCGTGCGGTAGGGCATCCCCTTTGGGGAAAGGCAGCCATCGTGAAAAAACGCTTCCTGTCTTCCAGACTCAGTCCAGCAGGGCTCGGGAAGGCCCCTGTGCCCAGAAGAGCTCCCTCCAAGGGTCAACACCTTTCCCGAAACCTTAGCGGCTTTAGGGCTTGTGGACTTCGACTCCCAGGATTCCCCGGCTGGCATGCCGGCCTGGGGATTCTGGGAATTCAAATCTTACCCATGCTGGCTGGGGAATTCTGGGAGTTGAAGTCCACCTGTCTTAAGATAGCGGAGGCAGACAAATGCTGCTTTGAGCCAAAGGGGACCCAGCGAGGGGAGTGGTTCAGGGGGTCACTCTAGAACAGGGAACATCTGGATCCGAATCAATCCACCGAGAACTGAAGAGGGTGAAGGGGAGCCAACTGGCTTAGCCTTCCTGTCTGGGGCTGGCATTTTTTAAGAGGGGAGGAAGGCCCAGTTGCATCTGGGCGACACAGGGGCCCCCAACGCCCTGGCATCGGCCCAAGGAGATCACAGTCACAGTTGGTGCCAGGATTGAAAGCACCCAACTGGGTGTGAAATATAAAAAACAAGCCCAGCTTGCTGGGATTTGCCTTCTCTTCAAAGAGAGACGTGGTCTTTGCCTCTTGAACTTCCTAAAGTAATAAGCGACTGCAGAAGAGAGGCCTTCGCCCCCCTCCTCCTCCTCCTCCATTAACCACTGGTTCCTCCAGGTGTTGGGAGGAAGAGGCAGCAGCTGGGCATTTTCATCAAAGAGGAGAAGAATGCAGCAGGGTGCCAATTAGAATAAATTATTACTTGCCTATCTTGCTTGGCATATGGAAATATCCAGCCAAACCAATCAATCTCCCTCCCTCCCTTTCTCAGCAACCCGCCCGACGCCCACCCAGGCGAAAGCACCATCTCTCGGGAGCCCAGAAGGCCTCCTGAAGATTCTCCTGTCCTCACCCTGCTACACACACAGGAAATCCTCAGAAACCTACCATTTTTTTCCCTTTTGCTTCTCCATTTTCAAACGTTGGGCGTAGCTGCGTGTTGGGTCCTATTGTGCCAACCGTCAGCTCTAAAAAGAGGGCTGCCTTGGGATTGGGGCAATGGGCACGTGGAAAATTAAGATTCTGGTGTGCAAACAAACCTTTTCTTATGCTTGATTTATTACGTTTATTACCACACTAACCTGGGCATCTGTCCGGCTATGCTCCATTTTCTATCCTGAGGTCCGATTTTGCAGTTCTGACACAGCCCTTTGTTCTTCTATTGATCTCTTTAATGACTCTGGAAGCTGGGGGAGGGGGCTGCCTGTGTGTGTGTGTCCCCCTGTGTGTGTGTTTTGCAGACAGACCTTCTAACACAGAACCCCGCTGAGATTTGGAGGCTGAACTGCACACAAGCCAGAGCCCCAGAGCCGCCTCCTAAGATTCAGCCTCATCAAAGGGTGGAGGGAGAAAACGTGATTTGGCAGAGGTTGGGCTGCATTTGCTCAGAAACAAACACAATAAAAGATATTTATTTCCGATGCTGCCTCCATGTGCACATACCGCTGGCTTGGCAGCAAATGAAGCACCCCGTGGACACACAATTGCAGGGCAGTCCAGCTGTTCCCTGCCCATCCAAGGGCTCCTGCAGGCGACGGCTGTTCAGCCCAGCGAGAGGGGTTGGCTTTGGGGGCACTATGCTTTTGAGGGGGGCTCTTCCTCAGGAAAAGAGCAGAGCCCTAGCCCCGCTTTGACACCTGGGGTCAGAATCCCACCCGCCAAGGAAGGTGCCCCAGAAGCAAAGTGAAGTGAAAGCAGCTATTCCAGGCAGGCCCTGAAGGTTGCTCCATCAGAGGGTGGGGCTCCTTGAGGGGAGCCGAAGAAGCTTCTGGGATGAGAAGTGAAACGTCTTCAAAGAAAAACCAAGAAGGTCCAGTTGGCTCCCGGGGAAGAAGAAAAAAGCACCTTTGGCAGAACCAGGACCTGGAGGACCGAGAATCTCCATGGCCCCTTGGGGGGAGGGAGAGATGCTTTCAGTTGGCCGTGCAGTTCTTAGTGGGAGAAGGATCTGGGCAGGGCTGCATTTTCGCCCCACCGGCTTCCTCTCGCCCGGCCCTGTGGGGCGGTTCTCCGACCGGGCTGGGGGAATAATTCTGCGAGTGGAAAGATGCAAGCTTGGGAAACCCGGATTGCAAAAGCGCACCGGGTCACAGCGCATCCCTGGGCAGCTTTTGCAACCCTTTTTGTCGCTTTCGGACCGTTTAATGAGGCGGCCCATGCATGCGGGCGCGGATGCCGGGGTGGGGGGGCAGCTGCATCCATGCATCTCTGCATTCGCTCGCGCGCGCGCGCGCTCTCCACGGTGCTGCTGCATGCCAGCCGGCTGCGAAGGCGCACGCGCGAATCCCGGGCTCCTCGGCAGCCAGGGCGCCTGCGCGAGGGGGAGGAGGCGGGGACCCCTCTCCGGCTGCGCGCACGCCCTCACGTGGGCACGCCGGCCGGCCGGGAGCGCGCCCCTCCCCCTCCCCCTCCCCTCTCTCTCTCCCCCTCCCTCCTCCCCCCTCCTCCCTCGGCGGGGCCGCCATGTTGGATGGCGCGTGTGGGCGGCGGGTGTCGAAGGCGGCGGCGGCGGCCGCCGGAGCCCGGAGCCCAGCAACGCCCGCCGGCAGCAGGTGGGAGACGCCGAGCAGGGAGACGGGGCCGGCCCCGGGTCTGAGGAGCCCCCCCGGGGCTGCTCCGGAGGCTCTTTCGGGGGAGGGTCGCTCAGGGGGGTCTCTGGCTGCCCCTCTGCTCCCCGAGACGCAGCCCCCCCCTTTTGAAGGGAGCCCCCCCCGACCCTGGCCTGCCCCAGGGGCTTGGAGGGAGGAGGGCTTCCGCTGGCGCCCCCACCCCACCCACTGACGGGGGCGGTCTCTGGGTGGGGAGGGGGTGCCACCCCACGGAGGGAAGGGGGGGAACCACGTTGGGGAGGGCTCGCTTTTGTGGGTGTGGGGGGTTATTCTGTGTTTCTTTGGGTGGGGGGGAAGGGGAAGAAAGGAGAGGGTTTTTTTTGAAGGGTGGGGGGGTCCTGTGGGGCCAGAAAAGGGGGGGGGCATGGGGGTCAACCCTGCCTTGGTGTGACTTCCCCCCTTCCCCGCCCCCTTTCCTTCCCCCCCTGGGGGAAAGATGCCCCCTCCACAACAAAGACCCCTCCCCCCTTCGAAATGGGTTTGCATGGGGGGGCATCTAAGGGAAGGGCTGCCCCCCCCCTTTTTGCACCCCCCCTTTTTTTTGCTTTCCTGGCTGTATCCCCAACTATTCCTGGCTGATGCAGATGGGGGACCGTTCATCAACCTCTCCTGATCGGAGGGGGCCTTGGGAGGAGGACATTTCATTTTAATTTCATTTTAATTTTTAATTTTGGGGTAGCGAGGAAATTCGGGAGCCGGCAGCAGCGGCCGAGGCAGGTTTCATGCAGCTTTTGTGCCTTTGATTCAAAGCCAATCCCACCCCGAAGCTTGTGGCCTTTTGGCAGAATTAGGGATAGGCGGAAAGCTGTGACCAGCTTATATTCCCCATTATTGTTGTGGTTTTCTCGTGGGTGTGGCTTGCACTTGGAAGTGGATGGAGCTTCAACGCAAAAATGGGACCAAAGTTGTGCAATTATCTAAAATGGACCCACAAGGGAAGAATTTGGGGGTGGGGTGGGGTCAGTTGTGTGTGTGCAAAAGGAAAGAAGGCCAGTGTTTGAGCTCCTGAATATCCGAAAGGTGTCAATCAAGTGGTCGGTCTGAGTTATGGGAGCTTCTCTGCATGTCTGGGAGATGTTTGTCTTTATCTGAAACACACACACACACACACACACACACACACACATACACACACACAGGGTGGAGAATGGCCTAAGGTGTGGTGTGGGTGACACAACCAAGATTCCTGAGAGTCTCTGCCGCCTCTTTTCTCCAAATCCGGAATCAGATTTGAAATGCAGACGGCTTTCGGTGCTTCAGACACGTTGGTGGAACGGTGAATCTGTGCGGTCTTCTCGGAGCTGGGAATTCCTGCAGTCGGGACTGTGTTTTGTGTTGGGTGGGTACGTCTTTGTGAAGGAGTCATTCTGAAAGGATGTGTATGGCAGGTCAGATCCTAACACCCTGGATTTTCTTTGTCCTTTTTTGTCATTTTCATTTAGGATGAGAGCAGCAGTTATTTTTATTCATGGCAGTGAAATCTGGCGGTCTTTCTTTTGTGTCATCCAAGGTTGTTCCAGCAACCCCAGAACAGTCAGTAGCTGGGAAATACGTTTTCTCCTTCTGCTCTGTCAATTGGAATCAGAATTGTCAGAAAGGAGAGGTCTGATGTTCAATAATTTTCCAGCTATTTTTCTATTATTTTCTGTTGCATTGTGCACATCAGCAGATCATAATTCCTTTCTGAATCGTTCGTTCTGCCCTTGCAAACGTTCTGGGTTCTCTACCAAACTACTGAATTTTAAAACATTTTATTAGAAGTCTGTGTAGTTTGGGAGATACTTGAATGTCATATAAATATGAGTTTAACATTTTAATGCACAGGGACTTGCAGTGATGAAATTTGTTTTCTTCCCTGTTGTACAGCAGCGCAGTTGAGAAAATGCACTTACATTTATGCCAGTATTAAAAAATAGTGGCTGATTGCAATTAAGCGATAATTTCCAGTTTTGGTTATAGATGCATTGGGTACAGTAACCTTCCTTCACTTGGTGCCTTTTAAGAGGATTAGAACTAAGTAAAGATGGAATAGTAAATCAACTCCAAGTGGTTTTGTGGAGACACACCTAACTTCTTAGACAGGTACGTTCTGCTGTTCTGGGATTTATTTTGTTCTACTTTCTAGTCTAGTCTGCAGCTCTGATACTTCTTGTGGTCTCCCATCCAAGCGTTAATGGGTTCTTCGGGCCCTGCTCAGCCTTGGAGATTAGCTAAGAATTTCCGCTGATAGTGCTGGAATTTTGCGAGTTGTTGGCCTCTTGTTTCTGGAGGTGGTATGTTGAAGAAAGCCGGTTGTAAGTTGGGCTGGCATGCTGGTACGGAGCTTGTGAAATCTGTGCAGTGGGGTTGTGATTGGGGTTTCCCCTCCTTTTTTTCCTTAAGAAAGTCAAGTGAAGAGAGTTAGGATAACTTCATTGAGAAGGAGTGCGTGCCCTTTTTGTGCACCCGAGTTAGTTAGGAGTCTTAATATGTATGAACTGCCTCTGCGTCACTTAGAAATGTTCAATTGTCAATTGACTCTGTGGAAGCCTACCTGGGAGTAAATTATACCGAAATATGTGAGGCATGGTCAGCCAAGCATGAGATTAAATTTATGTAGCTCTCCTGAACAGCCCCATAGAGAGTGTCAAAATTCTTCTGCGGGTAGGAAAGGCTGATCGTATGCAGGGACTGACACTGCAACCCACACGCCTAACTTCAGGGTTGTTGCAATGGAAATTTGTGGTGATTATTTTGTCTGGCAGTTTAGCAGCTTCCAGGTCAAAATACATTGCAAAAAAATATTTGTGGCATTTCGACAATATGAGTTGTCTGTATTTTATTATCATTGTCGGAGAAAGGTAAACACATTGCCATATAATTGGAATACATATTTTTTTTGTAATGTTATTAACAGACTATTTCTGCTCAGAATTAAGCCCCACTAATTTAATGGAAGTAATTGCCACCATATGTGTGTGGCAAATTGTAGCCTTTGAATTAAAACCGGAAGCATTCTCCCATCATTTAGCGATATGTCTTCAGATTCCTTTCATTCGTTCTGATCTTAACTGACGTCTTGCAAGTAAGTTTCATGCGGAAGAATAGTGCCATTTGCCAGGGATCAAATAAACCAGTCTAACTACACAACATGAACGTTCAAGTCTTGACTTGTAGATAATGAGTATTTTGGTTTGTCTGCAGCTTTCTAGAGTAAAGTAACACATGATGTGTGTGTGTGTGTGTGTGTGTGTGTGTGTGCATTGGCTGGGAACTAAATGTAATATATAGATATACTTATGACAATATGGTATTCAGCTTTGTTCAGGTATTTTCCCACATCATTATAGTTGTGCTTTTAAAGTTGTAGCAATGTTTCAGCAGAATCTCATCTGCCATCATCAGGCTTCGGTATTGTGTTCGTCTGATGATGGCAGATGAGATTCTGCTGAAACGTTGCTACAACTTTAAAAGCACAACTATAATGACGTGGGAAAATACCCG